AAGGGGCTTCAATAAATATAGTACATTTCCATGGAGATTTTCAATAAGTGAGTAGGAAAATTTAATATTATTTGTTAAGAGATGTGTGCTGAAGGGTGGACTGTTTTATTTAATTTTTTAAATGGGATGGATGTATTGTGGCATGCTGCTGTATTTATCATAAAAATCAGACCAATGGATGACTTACACATATTACTTCACAACAGCAGCTCATGAGACATGCATTTTGAAGTATCTTTTTTTTTTTTTGGAGAGATTTTTGCTATAGAGCGCGTGCGCTCGCCAGACAGACAGAGAGAGACAGAGAGACAGAAAGTGAGAAATCACCCTCCAGGGGGGATGGCCACACCGCAATCCCTTCTCCTCCGTTCTCCTCTCGGGATCTTGGGCACGCATGCACACGAGCCCGGCGTGAGTTTTAAGCCACCGGGTCCGGGATACGAACCGCGGTTGACTACGTGGGAGTCCAGTGACATAGCCATTACGCTAACTGCTGGTTCCCTGAAGTATCTTTTTTAAGTTGGATAGTCACAAGAAAAAAAAATCACTTTTATTTGTCAGGACACTGAGGAAAACGAAAGAGGTTTACACATCCGTTATTTCATTACTGCTGAGACTGAAAGCATTTTGTAATTGGCTAGCCTTTTCTTTAGTAGAATTTGTCTTTGCAGATCTTTGCTTTTTCATATCAAGGGTTGTTTGATTTGATCCTTTCTAAGAATTGGGATTTTTGCACTATCTGCTATTTTCTTTTTAGCTATGACAACTGGATAGATAAATCTCTCGAGGGGTTCTATGTGCAAAGTTTAAAATTTGGTGTGGTCACATTTATTAGCGAGTCATATCACAAACCCACACCCCTCATTGCTTTCAGCATTTTAGTTTATTATCTGGGACTCATGTGCTCACTACACAAAGACAGAGAGAAAGTTATATGTCATCCAATGTAGTATAAAGAAGATTATGATGATAATAAAAATAAATAAAAAAGAAAGACACACACACAGAGAGAGAGAGAGAGAAAGAGAGAGAGAGAAAGAGAGAGAGAGAGAGAGAGAATGAAAAATCATCCCCTAGGAGGCATGACCACACCACAATCCCCTCTCCTTCACTTTCTGTCAAGATTTTTGGCATGAATGCACATGTGCCCAGTGTGATTTTCAAGCTGCCAGATTGGAGACTTGAACCACACTATCACCCATGTGAGATCCAGTGCCTCAATCTCCATGTCACCTGCTGGGCATCCTCTTTAATTTAATTTTATTTTTAGTTTACATTTACTCAGTATATATCTTTACAGTGTAAAACACTGCTATCTATTTCCGGCACGAACACGGTGCCTATCAGTCAAGACAAACACATTACCACACATGTTTTCATCAGCTAATAACTTTTCATTTCTGTGTCAGTTAAACATATTTTTCCCGTTTCCTTCCCTCCCTCCCTCCCACCCTCCCTCTCTCTATTACTCACTGCCATAGTAACCCTATCCTTACGATCTCTAGTATCTACAGTTGCCCTCCCTACTTCTATACCTTCCAAACACTCCGTTTTTGTGATAGAGTGCAGGAATACGGTATATATTGAGTAGGGACATACAAAGCCTGCCTTTCATAGTCTGGATTTCAATTCTTAGCATCAAGTCTTCCATATTCATCCACTTTGTATCAAATGTTAGGGTCTCACTGTTTTTATGGCTAAGTACTATTTTTTAAAATTTTTATTATCATCATAATATTCTTTATATTACATTGGATTACATATAACTTTACAGTGTATTACATTGCTTTTTCAAAAGGAAACGCCATGCATGTCAATACAGAGACATTAATCTCCCCACTTCATCATTCAATGTCTTTTCTATGTTTTTCCCAATCATTATTATTATTATTCTAATTATTGTTTAAACAGTCACTATTTCTCATTTTGCTTGTAAAAAGACCACCCATCATGCAATACTTCTCAGACCAATCCAGTTGAGAAACTGTTTTTCAAACTGAGGATTTGTCTTTCCTTTGGGTAAATATCTAAAGGTAGAATTACTGGGTCAAATGGTAGTTCAATTTGTAAGTTTCTGAGGAATCTCCACATTGTTACCCACAATGGTTCTGCTCACTTGCATTCATACCCACAGTGTAGGAGAGTTCCCTTTTCGCCACAGCCTCGCCAGCATTTGTCATCCTGTATTTTTTTAATTTTAGCCATTCTGACTGGAGTTAAGTGGTATCTCACTGTGGTGTTGATTTGCATTTCCCTTATGATAAGAGATGTTAAGCATGTTTTCATTGGCTTTTTGGCCATTCATACGTCTTCTTTGGAGAGTTGTCTGTTCAGTTCATTTTCCCATGTTTTAATTGGATTGATTTTTTTTTTTTTTTGCAGGTAAACTGCTCGAGTTCCCTGTATATTCTGGTTATCAGTCGCGTATCTGAGGTATAGTTTGGAAAAATATTCTCCCACTCTGAGGGTTGTCTTCTCACTCTAACTATTGTTTCTTTTTGGGTGCAGATCGCTTTGCTTTCTTAACTTAAGAATGTCTTCTGAATCTTTAGTAAATTTTCTTTTGTAGCATTCATCATCTTACATCACATTTGCTTTTATTATTATTCAACATGTGCTTTGTGATTAAATCATCTCTTTAAACTTAATGATCATTTTCTACCATCTTATAAGCATGTTTTTTGTGTTCACTTAAAATCATGTATATCTTTTTCATAAGCATATTTGAATCCATTTGTTTCTATGGTACAACATTTTTACAATAAATACTGTTGATACTTTATTCCACTGCTTCTTTTAAAATATATATTTTAATATTATATATGTAGGTCTTTTCATTTTAACCTGAAACTAGAGACCTAAGTTGATGTGCTTAAATTATCCTTTTGAAGTGTTTCTTTCATAATTTATTTTGTATTCTCAGTCCATCTTATGGAATACAGTTTTTTTTTTTTTTTTTTGGAGAGGTTTTCGCTATAGGGTGTGTGCGCTCACCAGACAGACAGAGAGAGAGACAGAGAGACAGAAAGTGAGAAATCACCCCCCAAGGGAGATGGCCACGCCGCAATCCCTTCTCCTCCATTTTCCTCTCGGGATCTTGGGCACGCATGCACACGTGCCCAGAGTGAGTTTTAAGCCACTGGGTCCAGGACGCGAACCGCGGTTGACTACGTGGGAGTCCAGCGACATAGCCATTACGCTAACTGCTGGTTCCCTGGAATACAGTTGTTTTGAATTTGTTCTATTTACTTGCTTATACCTTCCTTATAGTTCTCTCTTTGAAACATTTCTCTAAATTCACAGCACAAAGTGGTCAGATTATAATGTCCCAAGTTCCCCCGTGCATAGGAAGTTTACCAACTGGAATCTTGCTGCTGTGTCTCCACTCTTACAGGGCTACATTTATAGGGGACTAGGACAGCATGTGACTGAAGAACCCTCAGTGTCTTCAAGTTTTAGCATCATCAGGCCCTCTCATTCCTCAACATTCACTGACACCATCTCATTATTCTCCCTCTTGTTGATTTTTCTGCAAGATGGCCACTTTTCCAGATATCCTTGCAGCTCCCACCCTCTCTTCCTTGAAGTCTCTGCCCACATGTCATCTTATCTGACAGTTAATGGTACACGTGTTCACTCTCTCATGTCTACATAATTTCATTGTCTTCAAAGCATCTGTTACTATGTGATGTGACACACAATTAGTGGTCATTCTACCCATCAATAATTGTTAAGTATTTTAGTTTCTTAGCAACTTGAATATTCATCACCCAGATAGTACATGAAATTTCATAGTCTTTCAGTTGATATTATGCAAATGATATAAAAGTCTGGGGAAAGGTTGAGAATGGGAAAGAAAATCCCAGTTAGACACAACCTTGGAGGGTGGGAGTGTACTAAAGAGGAGAGGAGTCATATACAAAACAAAGAGAATTTGACAGCCCTACAACCTAGCAATTCATGAAACTGGATTTAACATGCATGACTATGTTTCAAAGCCCAGCTCTTGCTGCTTGAAAAACACTCTGAGTATGTGTGCATACATACTAAAAATTAAGACTGAATGGTGGAACCAGCAGTTGGCATAATGGCTATATCACTAGACCCCTATGTAGTCGACTGCAGTACAAATCCCGGACCCGGTGGCTTAAACTCACACCGGGCATGCGTGTATGCATGCCAAAGATCCCAAGAGGAAATGTAGGAGAAGGGATTGCGGTGTGGCAGTCCCCCTTGAGGGGTTATTTCTTGCTTTCTGTCTCTCTGTCTTTCTGGTGAGCACACACATCCTATAGCAAAAACCTCTCCAAAAAAAAAAAAAATTATGGCTGAATGGAGAGACAGAGGAGAAGGGAATGTGGCATGACCATGCCCCATTGGGATGTGCTTTCTCTCTCCTACCCTATTTTTCTGTCTCTCTAGAAAGTATATACACTCTATGGCAGTTTAAAAATATAGAGAGATCAATTTATTCACTGAAAACCATGAATTGTAGCATTTCAAATATGGGAGTAATTTTTTAAAATATTGTTTAATTATTTATCCCAGTATTAATGCATTTTATGTCAGTACAAAGTTATTTTTTTATTTTTTTATTTTTGGAGAGTTTTTTTTTTTTTCTATAGGGCGTATGTGCTTGCCAGACAGAGAGAGAGAGACAGAGAGAGAGAAAGCGAGAAATCACCCTCCAGAGGGGATGTCCACGCCACAATCCCTTCTCCTCCATTCTCCTCTCGGGATCTTGGGCACTCACGCACACACGCCTGCCGTGAGTTTAAGCCACTAGGTCCGAGACTTGAACCGCGGTTGACTACATGGGAGTCCAACGACATAGCCATTATGCTAACTGCTGGTTCCATGTCAATACAAAGTTATTAACATATACATTATCATTTTCAGGAAACGTGAATACTGTTTGTGAACTCTGAGCTCACTGTGAACTATTCTGAGTGACAAATGAGTCACATTAATTTCTTTTTTCTGGTAGGGACCTCCACCACATGGAACCAAAGAATGATACAAGGATTTCAGATTTTCTTCTTCTGGGACTTTCAGAAGAACCAGAATTGCAGCCCCTCCTCTTTGGGATTTTCCTCTCCATGTACCTGATCACTGTGTGTGGAAACCTGCTCATCATCCTGGTCATCATCTCAGATTCCCACCTGCACACCCCCATGTACTTCTTCCTCTCCAACCTGTCTTTTGTAGACATCTGTTTCACCTCCACCACTGTCCCAAAGATGCTGGTGAACATCCAGACACACAGTAAGGTCATCACCTATGTTGACTGCATTATCCAGATGTACTTCTTCATGATCTTTGTAGCATTAGATGACTTTCTCCTAGCAGTGATGGCCTATGACCGGTATGTGGCCATTTGTCACCCTCTACACTATTCAGTTATCATGAACCCTCGGCTCTGTGTGTTGTTAGTTCTTTTGTCCTGGATCATGAGTTTCCTGACTTCATTATTACATACCTTAGTGACATTGAGGCTGTCCTTCTGTCCACCAGTGGAAATCCCCCACTTCTTCTGTGAACTTAATCAGGTGGTCCACCTTGCCTGCTCCGACACCTTTCTTAATGACATGGTGATGAATTTTGGATCTATGTTGCTGGTTGGTGGTCCATTCTCTGGGATCCTTTACTCTTACTGTAAGATAGTTTCCTCCATTCGTGCAATCTCATCAGCTCAGGGGAAGTATAAAGCATTTTCCACCTGTGCCTCTCACCTGTCAGTTGTCTCTTTATTTTATAGTACAATTATACTTGTGTACCTTAGTTCTTCTGTTCTCCAAAATTCTCACTCAAGTGCAGCAGCCTCGGTGATGTACACTGTGGTCATACCCATGCTGAACCCCTTCATCTACAGTCTGAGGAACAAAGATGTAAAGAGGGCTCTGAGAACTTTCCTGTGGAGGAAAACTAACAAAGGATGAACTGTCCTTATATTGAAGGAACGTGATTGTTAGCAGGGCTCAAGACATCAGGTAATAATGATGAAAATATGTCTAGATTCTGGAAATAGATTTTTTTCCAATTGGATTGTCCATGACTTTGTTTTCAACCTCTCTATTCAATATAAATACCTCACTTTTCCACTGTAATATCTAGACAGTTTTTTCCTCTGTTCATTTTTGTATTTTCACATGGTTATCCCAACCATTGATCAGAAATACTTGGAAATCCCCATTAGTATTATGGAGCAACATGAATTTATTAAAGCTATTTTTCTCCAATGACATATACTGAATAAGTTTGCCTTTCTTCTATGAAAATATCATATGCTGTGCTTTATTTATGGGAACAAAATAACTATACTTGGTTGCCAAGGTCAATAATATAACTCAGGGGCCAGTAGGTGGCATAGTGCTTACAGTACTGACTCCCACAGGGCAGACCGTGGCTCAAGTCCTGGAAGTGACAGCTTGAAAATCACACCGGGCATGTTGGCATATGTACCCAGGATACTGGCAAGAAAATTTGAGTATAAGGGATTGCAGCATGGCCACCCTGCCTTTAGAGTAATTTCTCTCTTTCCTTTCCACTGTATCTTTCTCTTTCTCTCTCTTTCTTTCTTTCTCTTTCTTTCTTTCTTTCTTTCTTTCTTTCTTTTTCTTTCTTTCTTTCTTTTTCTTTTTCTTTCTTCTTTCTTTCCTTCTCTTTCTTTCTTTCTTTCTTTCTTTCTTTCTTTTTCTTTCTTTCTTTCTTTTTCTTTTTCTTTCTTCTTTCTTTCCTTCTCTTTCTTTCTTTCTTTCTTTCTTTCTTTCTTTTTCTTTCTTTCTTTCTTTTTCTTTTTCTTTCTTCTTTCTTTCCTTCTCTTTCTTTCTTTCTTTCTTTCTTTCTTTCTTTTTCTTTCTTTCTTTCTTTTTCTTTTTCTTTCTTCTTTCTTTCCTTCTCTTTCTTTCTTTCTTTCTTTCTTTCTTTCTTTTTCTTTCTTTCTTTCTTTTTCTTTTTCTTTCTTCTTTCTTTCCTTCTCTTTCTTTCTTTCTTTCTTTCTTTCTTTCTTTTTCTTCCTTTCTTTCTCTTTCCTCTCTTTCTTTCCTTCCAGTGAGCGTACACACCCTATAGCAGAAACCTTCAACAACAACAAAATTCAACAGTAGAAAAAAATCTAATATTATAATTTAAATTTTTTCTGTTCATCATTCTGTAACACTTGACCACCTCAACTGTTCTTCATGAAAATGTGCAATTTAACACAGAAACTTTAGTCTATAAATTGTCATTGGGTTTTATTCCCATCTTTAAGATCCTTTGTCTTACATATTCTGGTGACCGCAGTTCCTTCATAATTCCTAAAATAAGTCATTACTATCTACTTGTCTCTAAGTGGAATCTGGTTGGAAATATACCTTTCAATAAATGGTTGTGTTTTTATGGGCTTAATGTCAGAGATTAATTTAAATATGATTCCCCAAATTTCAAGCTATGAATTACACTACTGCACAAAATATTTTTGTTTAATTCTCTATATCTATTTAGTTATGTGTAAAAGGCTGGTGTTAATTTATAAAGGGGATTATTCATTTTGGTGAAGACTGGTTTGGTTTGATTTATGTTTTATTATTAAAATATCATCCTACTACTTATTGACAATTTCCTGTGCTTCCTAAATATAAAAACCAATCAGACCCTGGCATTTGATAGGAAGTGGACAAATATGGAAGATTTATTGCTAAATAAAGCAAGCTAGACTAATCTGTTTCTCTAAATGAAACATAATCACTTTTTCTAAACTTTGTCACAATCCTCAAAGGGGCAGTGAGTGGCTATTGTCAGTTTCATATATATTATATCTCCTTTAAACATAGATATCTTTTCAATCTTCATGATCAAAGCATCACTGACAAGTAACCTTGAATATCTGTGCCCTCATGTGATTCTGAGTCACAAGTATTTCTACACAAACAAGCATCTTTCTAACCTCTCCTGGTATCCTGGAAAGGAATCTTATTGTATTTACTTTCCAACACAATCTTCTCAAACATCTGAATAGAAAAATAATCATGAATACTGTCTTCAAAGATCAGGAAAAAAAAGAGTCACAATACAAAGCAGAAGATTATTGTAATTACCCTTCATTCTGTTCACTTTGTTATTGCATTAGTTAGTAACTTACTGCTGCATAACAACCATCTTAAAAGAAAATGGTTTAGTATAATACATTTATTACTTAATGTGACTACATGAGGGGCAATATTTCTGAAGTTTTCTGATCTTCTCATGAATCTGTAGTTATCTGTGATTCAAATGAGTAAGTACAGCTTATGTTCACTGAGGCTTCTCACCTATTGAGGACATAGCTGGCTGTTGCCTGATTTATGGGAGGGGGGGTGCTCCTGATTAAGACCACTAGCTCTTTCCATATTTTCTCTCCTCCTGAAGCTGGGTAGCCTGGATTTGTTAACATGGTTGAGACAAGGTTCCATAGAATTGCAGAAATAGACCATTAAGAATCAATGTAAATATCAACATACTCTCATGGTCAACGTAAATTGAAACCATATCTGGCTCAAGCCTTAAAGGATGAGACTTTGCCTTCAGTGACTGAATACTCTTAGATAAATAAATGTGAATGAAGCCCCTATGGAAATTCTAACCTAGGGGTTCAAGCCCCCTCAGAGGTAAATATTCCATGTTTATCCCTCACTTCCAACTCCCAATCCCGATTTAAGAAAGAAATCATCTCTTTTCCTCCAGACAATTGGTCCAGTGTTGGAATCTCATGTCTAAATCTCGGATTAAGAGACTAGCTCTGAGCTGCTTTAGAAATATTGTTCATGTTGTCCCCATCCCTGCCATGTATCACTTGTCTTGTGACAGCACTGCTCTTTTCATAAGATCCCCACCTTTGTACAGGTATTTATTAAGAACCTTTATTAGAAGAGGTTCAAAGTGAAATGCAAACAACAGAGATACAAGAATTTGAAAGAAGATGGAGAATTAAGGTGTAAGTCCATTGTGGTGCCCTGAATACAAGGCTTGAGAAGAGATGGGAGTCACTAGAGACTTCAAGTTACTTGGGGGTACCTGGTCTCCTCCCTTATTACCGTACACATTATCATCAACAGATAATTTTCCACTTTTGCATCCCTTAAATGTTTTGCTCCTTTTTTCCCACTTGATTCCACCCCTCCCACTGGCATCCCATTCCCTATCCTCTTCCCTCACTATCTCTAGAACTCACAATTGCTCTCTATGGTTTTATGCCTTCCAATCTTTCAGTTTTTGCAAGCACAGACATTCAGTATATATTAAGTGAGGACATACAATGACTCTCTTTCAGATTCTGGGATATTCTTTGTGGGTAGTTTTTTGTTTACTGAGTCAATTCTTTTAACAATTATAAGATAATTGAGATTTCTATTCTTTTTTAATTTTAAGAGAGATTTTTGCTATAGGGCACATGCAGTTTTTGGAGAGAAAGAGAAAGACAGATGGAAAGCGAGAGATCACCCCCCCCCCCAGGAGGGGATGGCCATACAGCAATCCCTTCTCCTCTTAGGATCTTGGGCACACACACATATACATGCACATCATGAGATTTAAGCCAGTGGGTCCAGGGCTCAAAATGCGGTTGACTATGTGGAGTTCAGTGATGTAACCCTTATGCCAACTGCTGGTCCTCAAATTTCAATTCTTATTGCCTGTTGTGTTATAGGTACAGTGATAAAATGTTTTTTTTTTTTTCAGAGTAAATTTAGCCTTTTCATCTAAATTTTCCAATATTGGTGAAAAATTATCTATGATCTTCTTTTATTATATGCTTAATGTCTATACCATGTGGAGTGATGTTATCTTTGGCATTTGTGGGTATTGATAAATTGTCTCTTATCAGTCTTGCAAAGAGAGAGAGAAAGAGACCAATGGGGTTGTAAGTACCCATGATCACCTACAAAATCGATAATATGTGAAAGCTTACATTTTCAAGAAGAACAGTTAATATAGTGATGTAAATCCGAAGGAAGGCTGCAAAAGTAAAATACCGTGGTTCCAGATATAAATTGACAATAAAAATTATACCAACCATGTTAGAGTTGCTTAGCGTAGTTTACTCCATAGGTCTAAGACAACTCATCAAAATACAGGTTGAGGGTCAACCAGGCTGTGTGGTTAAGGCAGCTGGATCCCACATGGCCAACTGCATGGTTTGAGTCACAAACCTGGTGGCTTGCAAAACACCCCAGGCACATGTACATGCATGCTCAAAATCCCAAAAGAAGTATAAAGAAGAAGGGGTTGCAGTGTGGCCATCCTCCCTGGGAATACTTCCTCACTTTCCCTCTTTCTCTCTGCAACTCCCCAGTGAGCACATGCAACTTACAAGTTTTTTTTTGTTTGTTTTGTTTTTTGTTTTTTACTTTCAAGGTTTATTCACTTATTTCTTGTTGATGGGAATGTAAACTAATGCAGCCACTGTGGAGGACAATATAGATTTCTCAAAGACATAAAAATAGAACCACCACATGGTCCAGTAAGTCCACTCCTGGGTATCTACCTAAAGGATAGGAATACATTTTGTCAAAAAAACATCTGCACATCCATGTTTACCACAGCATTATTCACAATTGCTAAGCATGGAACCAACCCAAATGTCCTCTAACAGATGAACTTATAGCAAATTTAAAATACATCTATATTCAGGTTGAATTTCCTTTACCTGAAATGGTTGGAACCAGAAGTATTTTGAATTCCAGATTGTTTTTTCTTTTGAGATGTTTCTATGTATACATTGAGATATCTTGTGGATTGAGTACAAGTCAAAGCACAGAATTTAGTGTCATGGGACCAGCAGTTAGAGTAATGGCTATGTCACTGGACTCCCACATAGTCTACTGCGGTTGGAGTCCCGGACCCGGTGGCTTAAACTCATGCCGGGCGCGTGTGTGTGCATGCCCAAGATCCTGAGAGGAGAATGGAGGAGAAGGGATTGCGGCGTGGCCATCCCCCCGGGGGGTGATTTCTCGCTTTCTGTCTATCTCTCTGTCTGGCGGGCACACACGCCCTATAGCAAAAAAGCTCTCCAAAAAAGAATTTAGTGTCATTTCGTATATACCTTATACACATGCCTGAAGGTAGTTTTATACACTTTATTTTGAATTCCACCTGTCCTGCTATGACCTAGGACATGAAATGGGGTATAAAATTATGCACTGCAGCATCAAATCAGTGTTGAAAATGTTTCAGATTTTGAAACTTGTCAGTGTTCCAATTTACATAGCATGAATGTGTGAGACAAGTGAGAATCTCTAAATTATTTTAGGTATAACTATGGATAAAGAGGGAAATGACAAGGGGGGAAATGGTTGGAGATCAGAGAGGACAGAAAGCTTTCTAAAACAAATATACATTTTATACAGCTGTAAGCATGAGGAGCAAAGAAATTGAAACACCAGAAAATAAGGATAGACCCAAGGGAAAAACGTTTAACAGAAACAAAACTAAAAAGTCACCTGTTGATAATGATACATATGATGATAAGTATGACTTGACTAAGATGCACTATATTCACTCTGGGAAAGGTTATTTTGTATGCTGTAAAAATGTACAGTGATCAAATGTACATAAATAAAAGTAATAAATAAAAGTTTGAAAAAAAGAGGAAAAAAGTTCTAATTTACAATCTACATAAAGAATCACTATTTCTTTGTTCTTCCTTTATTTTTTAAACAAATTATTTAAAAGTTTTTACCTCATAATCATTATTTTTTCATTTCATTTTCTTCCATACATTCAATCACATTATTATTTATCATACGAAATGGATATTTCAACAGGTGAACATTTCTCCCTAGTACTGTTGATAAACCTATGAAATATATTTCTGGCTCTGAGGCTATGGGTCTTTCTTTTACATACACATTTTAAATGTGACCCTTCTATCCCTTCCTTCAGAAGAATTGTCTCAGAGCCCTCTTTATGTCTTTATTCCTCAGACTGTAGATGAAGGGGTTCAGCATGGGGGTGACCACGGTGTACATCACTGCGGCCGCCGTGTCCTTCTGGGCTGTGTGGGAGGACATGGGGTTGAAATAAACCCCGATGAGCGTCCCGTAGAACAAGGTCACCACGGACAGGTGAGAGCCGCAGGTGGAGAAAGCCTTCCGCCTCCCTCCGGTGGTCGGGATCCTCAACACCGCAGCGACGATGCGCGTGTAGGACACCAAGATGCCCACGAAGGGGGTGATGAGCTGTCAATGCCCCCAAACCAGATGAAGAAGAACATCTGGGTCAAGCAGCCCGCATAAGGGATCCCTCTGCGTCCTGACACGTGATTGGCCAGCATCTTGGGGACGGTGGTGGAGGTGAAACAAATGTCCACGAAGGCCAGGTTGGCCAGGAAGAAGTACATGGGCGTGTGGAGACGGGCGTCCGTGCCGATGGCCAGGATGATGAGCAGGTTCCCCAGCCCGGTCACCAGGTACATGCTCATAAAAATGACGAAAAGCAGCTGCTGCTGTTGGGGGTCCTCTGAGAACCCCAAGAACAAGAACTCGGAGACCCGGGTCAGGTTCACGTCTTCCATGGTCACTGTTCTGGATTGATCAGAAAGACCACCAGTGTTCAGACAAGGGCT